TGAGTTATCACGTTATTGTTATTGTCTGAGAAGATGGCAGATGTAATCAACACCACAGAGGGGAAAATGACTATCTGATCAGAAAGATAGTTAATTGGCTATTGGCAACAGGGCGCATACATAGGAGGTATAGATAGATGATCTGGGTAGAATAGGAATAGAAAAGATTCTTCCCTCGATTAAGTTGCTTTTGAAGTGCTGGTAGAATATGCAGTTTTTCTGGTAGCTGGGAGAAATGTAGATTTTTTGGGTCCAGAGCATTCACCAGCCAGCTTTTCTTTGAAGAAGTTATCCTCATATTATGTCTGATTTTATCTATTGCATTAACACATTTTTTGAACCAATTTCAGTTTGATGTTCTCCTTACATTGCCTTAAAATTGTGAGGAGCTGTCTTATTGTGGGTAGTAAACAACCCTAAGGAGAAAGTGGGGAGAAGAGCATTAAAGAAAATGAGGGGTTGGAGGTGAAGTGATCTGATTACCATGCTTTAAAAGCTGGGCAGACTTGACTCTCCGTCTTCTTTAACTGGGGTATGGATGTAGAAATAAAATTTGAAGGACAAACCCTGTACTTAGGAGTCAGGGAGTAATAGAATAGCATATACACTAACTATACCAACCCCCATCACAAAATAAGCCACATAACCCCAGGTGTCCGATTACTTTATTGACTACTCTTCTGACTGGAGCGTATATATTGCAAGTTCAATGTCTGGGAGATCTACTGTTAGTAGCGCTATTTTGAGCTATATTACGCTGGGGAGCTGACGCGCCCTGAGAATTTGGTAGTCTGGGACACGAGGAGGATTTCCTTTCCCTTCTCTTCCCTTCCTGGCGACCTCCTCGCTTCACCAGAGAGAGGCTGCCCGCAGCTTTCCCCTTGGTCCAGTCCTTCCCTAGCACACACCCACTGCAGCTGTACCAGCCCAGCCGCGTGGCACTTTCCCTCAGACACCCCCAGCTCCGCTGCACCCCCCCCCCCATCCAGGCGGGGCACGTGCCCCTGGTACCGTTGAAGCAAACTCCAACCGTCCCTTTTGTCCAGTAGGCGCGCGCGGGCGGGGCGGGCTGGCGCGCGAGCTGGGGGCGCGAGCCGAGGCGGGCGGGCGGGCAGGCGGGCGCGGGAGCCGGGCGCGGGCCCAGCGAGCGCGAGGTCGGAGGGCGGGAGCCCGTGGGTGCAAGTGCGCGCGGGACCATCCTCGAGCCGGCGGGAAGAGCAGCGCGCAGAAGGGGCGCGCAAAGCGGCCGTTGGAGTCGCGGATGGGGAGCTCTCCCATTTGCACTTGTGGTAGTAACTGAATACAGTGAAGTAGAAAAAGCAGAATGATAAGTATAACGGATCCCATTTTATGTGGGTAGATTCCTAGGGCCAAACTGTGTGTGCCCACGGATGTGGGTTAAAGGCACCGAGAATGGTCTGAGGATGCGATGGGGGAGGGAAGAGGTCCGGAGAAAGGATGAAGGGAGTTAGCTTTTTACGTTGTCTATTTCTGACACATTGAACATTATTATTGAGAAGGAACGTATAATTATGTAGTTAAAAAATCAGCATTTGGGAACTTTGGATACCCTCTTGGTTCCCATCCATAGGGATCTGCTTAGTCTCTCAGCAAAGCAAATTTGAGGGTCAAGAAAAATTTTCTGCACTTTTATATCTCTTCCTCACCGCTCCACCTCTTCTCCTGACACTGAAATCCTTCCCTTTCGCCTTTGCCAAGGAGTCTCCCTTACAGCCCGACCTCACACATCCTCCCTGCAAATCCGACTCTCAAGGAGGAGATATTTTGAAGCTAGTTAATTACAGGCACAGGAACATTTGAATTGACTTCGTTCCTAAATCATATTTGATAAAAATGGAGATAAATGTTTATAGGATATTTCCATTCCTTCTAAATAGTGTGCCTTAATGTTTTTATTAGAATGAACACATGATGTTAAGATTTTTCTCATTTTGAAACACTTTCAGACTTAGAAAAAAGTTACAGAATTTGTAAAAAGAATTCCATTATTTTCTTCCCACAGCTTCCCCAAATATTGACAATTTCTATAACTGTAGCACGATGATTATAACTAGGAAATTAGCATGACTACTCCTCTTTAAACTAATTTACAGATATTATTCAAATGTCTACAATTTTCTGACTAACCAGTGTCCCCCCTCCACACCCCACCGCCCCTTAATCCAGAATTCAATCCAGAATCTTACAATGCACGCAGTTGACATGTCTACATAGTTTCTTTTAATCTGTGACAGTTCTTAGTCTTTCTTATGACTGTGACGCTTTTTGAAGAGTAATGGTCAATTATTTTGTGGAATGTCCTTCAACTTGAATTTGTCTAGTACTTTCTCACAATTAACTTCAGATTATGCATTTTGGGTAAGAATACTACAGAATTGAGTTGTTCTCTTCTCAGTGCACTATATCAGGAGGTACACAATACCAATAGGTCCCATTAACGGTGATGGCTAACTCTGATCACTTGGTTAAGGTAGTATCTGCCAGGTTTGTTTATTGAAAAGTTGTGGGTTTTCTTTTTGTATTTAATTTTAGGGGTCACATATTTTTACTATATGCACAATAATTCAGCACTTATTATTATTATTATTATTTGGTACTAGGGATTGAACTCAGGGGGCACTCAACCACTGAGCCATGTCCCCAGCTCTATTTTGTACGTTATTTTGAGACAGGGTCTCACTGAGTTGCTTAATGCCTGGCTTTTGCAGAGGCTGGCTTTGAATTCAAGATCCTCCTGTCTCAGCCTCCCAAGCCGCTAGGATTATAGGCGTGTGCCACCGCGTTCGGCATTGCCAATGGATGCAATACCTTTATTTTATTTATTTTTATGTGGTACTGAGGATTGAACCCAGTGCCTCACATGTACTAGGCAAGTTCTCTACCACTGAGCTACAACCCCAGCTCTGCATTCATGATTCTTGATTGCAACAGATTACCGAAATATTTATCAAATAATGATTCTTCTATTTCTACTATCATGATGGAAATTTAAATCTGAATATTTAAATGCACACTAATTTTAAAGAAAGATTTTTTTTACTATTTTTTCCTGTTTTGCACTTGAAAGAAAAAGGCATTTGGACACTGCATATGTGTGCTGTGGAATTAATGACTAAAAAGTAATTTATAAATGTATTACAGATAACTTTATTCTAAGGAATGATTTACTGTTCTTAGTACTTGTAAGACCTTGGATTCTAAAAACCCCAATTTATATAGATTTAAGAGCTCAATAATTGAGTTGGTTTTATTCTTTGTACAAAATATGTACATGTAAAATGCAGTTAAAATGAAACAAAGATAAAAACAATTTCATATTATTTCCAACCTATTAATTTTAGTTGGCATTTGCAAAATTGATCATTTAAATTAACAATGCATCTGTCTCAAACAATGATTGTTCACTTTATTTAGCTTCAATGTTTGCTGAAAGGATTTACTGAAAGTTGGAATGAGTACACCTTTTGAATGCACTGCAAGGAAAGTGGAATTTTTGTGGTAAAACTTAGAGGTCTTTTGATCTGAGTTGTTTGACTATCAAACATTTTGGTAAATTCTCATTTGAAGATTAAGTTACCCTGTGAAGCAGTTTCCTTAACCTTTGTCATTGCGTATGGAAAACTGATCTAATATTGGGTCTTAAATCTTGATGCCATGCTTTTTTTTTTTTTCTTTCTTATTTTTTGCTACCATGGAAAGCAACAGAATGAGTTTTCACTTTTTTTTTAAATCATGAACCCTTTCCCCAGAAAATGCACAAACTCACGTACTGCATTAGAGCATAATGCAATCTGATGTCAAATTGTGTGTGTGTGTGTGTGTGTGTGTGTGTGTGTGTGTGTGAGAGAGAGAGAGAGAGAGAGAGAGAGAGAGAGAGAGAGAGATATGCAGGAGTGAAAAGTGGGCTGCTAGGCCATAGAGTTTTCCCAGACACTATTTACACTCCTGCCATGAGGCACAGCTTGCCTTTCTCTGCAGCTCAGATGGGCAGCCAAAGCAACAGTCCATCTGGCTCCTGCTCATTCCCCTCTAGATCCCTTTCCCACCAGCAACATCATCCTCTCCTCCATCACCGAGCCCCTACTGTGCTCAGCTTTCTTACTGGCTCTTCGCTCCTTATCTCTGTAACCGGTTCTTTCCCCTCTCAGAAACCTCTAGTTTAAGAAGATAGCTCAAAAGCTCCAGTGACAGAATCTGACCCCTTCCTAATGGATGGAGCTGAGAATTTATTGAATATGTCAATGCTTTCCCTTCTCATCCACTAAGACGTCTTGCTATCTTTTCCCTGCTTGAAATAGAAGAAGAGCTGATAAGCACGATTGGGAAACAGGTCTAAGAATCAGTAGCTTTCTCAAACGGTGATCATTATCGAAGGACAGAAGATCACGGGTTAACTGGGTCCCTAAGATCCCTCGAAGGCAAGACGGGGCTGGAGGAAGATGGAGCTGAGGAAAAGGGACCAGAGCCCATTAGAACGAAACGTTTTGGTTTTGAAAAAGGACAGGTGAATTGCGGGAACCCGCTCCTTCGCCCGCCAACCACTGGTCCCTGCGGCGGGAACAGCCCTCCGCGCCAGTCCCAGGCTCGGGCCCGCCACTTCCCGCGGCTGAGCTTGGCGCTCTCCTGCGCGCCGCTGCAGCCGTAGCTCCGGTGGCGGCCGGGTGGGGCCGCGAGTGAGCGGAGGGAATCCCTCCCGGGCTTGACGTCACCGCAGCGCTGGCCAATGAGAAGCCCGAGACGGGGATTCCCGCTCCCGCTGCCGCCGGCCCGGCTTTTTAAATGGTACCCAGGGGAACGCTTCTGGAGCTGTGGGAAGAATGGGGGAGAAGAAGGTAGGTGGTGAAATAGGAGGGACCTGGGGAAGGAGACTCTAGGGGTTTGACGATTAGGCCTTAAGTCTGGCTTAGCCCGGGGGTGGGGGGTCAAGCCGGAAGTGGTCGCGAAGAGGCCAAACTCGGGTCCCGCGAAGTCCGCCCGAGATGGAGTGGAAACTAGAGCGCACCGCCCGGCGGCGGATCCGGACGGAAGAAGAGATGCTGTGGGTGAGTAGCGCCCTCTTGTTTCCTCGCTCAACGCTTTAAAGGGGCTTCTCGACGAAGGCACTGCTTGTAACCTGCTTAGAACCAGGAAACTATTACCTGGTCTTGATTTTGAGTTTTCTAATTCTGGAGGTGCCTCACAAAAAGGTGAATGTGGTTTTGACAAACTCATGAGCTAGAAAAACTCCACACCTGAAATGATTTTCCTAAACAATTTCTCTCTCAATGTGTTACCTGTTTTCAAAGGAGAACGTCATGAAGGTGCTCTCCAATGACATGAAGCAGAAGAGAAGTCAAGTTTCTCCCAAGGTATGTGTCCAGGGCTTGCCTTGCTGTCTTCATTCTGATCTCAAGCAAACCAATTCTTGATACAAAAGGCATTTAGAGGAAGTATGGGCTTGTCAGGAAATATGAGAATTAAAAAAACCCCATCATCTCAAGTGCAGAATCTAATTACATACCTTTAAAGATTCAAGAAACTGAAGATCTCTGACAAATAATGGTATCTGAATGGTGCTGTCTAGTTTTTTATCTGAATGTATATGAATGATGCTGTAGTTTTGCCTCAGTAGCAAAGGCTGAAGCTTGGATGTGTCAGGTAGGCAGTGCATTGCTAGCTGGCTGTTAGAATTTCATCTTAACAGTTGCTAGTTGCACTCCCCTCTGCTGCATTCTGAAACATGCTTCCTAAAGAAATGAAAATGGTGCCATCTCGTGGACAATGCGGAGAAGTGGCATAATGCATCGCCCTTGAAAGATCCAGCCCAAAGGCTGTAAAAATCTAAAAAATTAACCTAACCCAAAGGCTTTTAGTTTCTCTTGTAATCACTGAAAAATCTAAAAAAATTAAAAATCTCTCCACATAAACAACCCTCATATGCTTTAAATCTCTAATTTTGACCATTTTTCATGTTTCTCACTGTTTTAATAAAAATTTCTAGATAATTTACAATTTTAGTTTCTATATTAAAGTGTGACACTCTAAATTGAACACATAGCCAAACTTTCAGAATGTAATGACTACTGTTATTTATAGTGGAAGACAACTAATGATGTTTAAACTTTAAAATTTTTAAAATAATGTTAAATACTGGAATATTCCACTTTAAATACTTTAATATTGATTTCCACCTCCCAGTTTGTTGGAGTTGTCTCTTACACCCAGATTATATATTATTATGACTCCTAGATATTTTACTGCCTAATAAAACAACTTATCTTTTAGTTAATAAGTGGAAGTAATTTGAAAAGTTATAGTAAGTAAGTAACTTGGTTAATTTGTTTGTGTTGCAGTAATGTATGTTCATTATCCAATCATTTAATTGTAAAAAACCTAAGCATAAGTATTCTGAAAGCTAAATTTTTTTCATAACTTTGTTTTTACCTAGATTAAGGTAAATAATGATATTTCTCGTGGTAGTTGTGAGAAATAAGATATGCATATAAATGTGTAAAATTAAAGTTCTGTTCTGTGTTTCATATTGTGAATTTAGCCTCACTGACTTCATGGGCTGTGAAAAGCAGCAATGACCTGAATCAGGTAGGCAGTGTATTGTTAGCTGGCTGCTTTGGTCAAGTCAGCAGCCACAGCTACCCTGCCACTTGCTTCTGGATAAATTCCTCTTGTTAATGAAGTGCCTTGGTGACCTGTGTGTGATGGGTTGGCAGTGTATTGTTAGCTGGTTGATATATAAATGGCATCAGCTAACATGCAACTGCTATCTTATTGCATATACGATGAACATCAGAGTGTAATTAAATCTGTAATGTGTGTATTGTTTTGCTATGAAGCAGTATACTATATACCATAACAGTTATTATTGTTATTGGTTACTTAATTAGAACACAATGGGCAGCCTCATAATGGTGAGGGAAGTACCATAGTTACTTTAAAAATTTCAAGTGATATTTTTGACTGGAGTCTTAGCTAAACAATATTAAAGTAATTGTGAAATTATATATTTTTTAAAATAAAATATTTAGAGCATAAAGACAATTTTATCTTTCCCCAAGTTTTCAACTGAGTCTTTTGTATTCTTTCTGGACTATCAATTTCTTAATTTGGCAGTAGAATAGATCGCTATGACCATGTATACATACAGCTAAAGGGAGAATTGAAGTAATTTCTCAGTGAGTAAGTTGACTAAAACATTTTAACTCAAAATATGAAGAAAACTGTGGATTTTTTTTTTTGCTGAAAATTGAGTTGAATTTGGAATACTTACCTCCATTTTGAAAAAAAATTATATTTCATATATTTATTATGTAATATTTGGAGATACATGAGATTTAGCTTATGAAGTAGGAAGAACTGACCATAAATATAATTTTAAATATTTTCTCATTTTCTTGGAGGCCATTTTGACCTATGAAGCAGGGTCAGATGTATGGTGGGTCTCAAACATATGGTGTCCTAATGTGGACATTTGCAGCAAGTTAGTGCAACTGATTTTCATGATCTGATTTGAAATATAAGAAATATAGTACAATGTTTACATTATTGTATTATAAGTTAGTTGGTAATTTTTGTGCTTATTTAAATTTAAACATTTCTAGAACATAGGTTGAATAGGTACTGTAATTTGATGTTTATGCGTCTTACTACTTTCAGATTTCATTTCTGTTTTTGTTATTTGCCCAGTCTGATTCTATTTTTGGGGTCTTTGTGTTTAAGGATGCCTAATATGTAAATATTGTTTTCATTTTTTGTTGTTGTTGAGGATTGAACCCAGGGGTGCTTTATCACCAAGCTACTTTCTCCAGTTCCCCCCTTTTTAAACTTTGTATTTTGAGACAGGATCTCACTGAGTTGCTTAGGGCCTCACTAAGTTGCTGAGGCTGGTCTTGAACTTTTAATCCTCTCATCTCAGTTTCCAAGTCATTGGGATTGTAGGCATGTACCACCATGTCTGGCTTCTTTTCATCTTTTTCAAAAGATTACATTTTGATGTGTTATTTCCTGTAGATAGTCACTGACTTATCAATAAAAATAAAATCTACTGAATTTAGAGGGCTTGTCATTTGTGTTTTATTCTTTTTAAATTAAAGAGCAAGACACAAGACACCAGTATTTGTACTCAATTAGCAGAATACATATTTAAGCTTTCTTTAATTTCATATTACTGAGATGATGAGAAAGGAAAGAAAAGGAATAAAATGAAATAAAAATAAGTTAAAGAGATCAATGGGAAAGGGGAAAGATGAACACATCAATTAAAAAAGAAAATGTTTCCAAAGGTATGAGAGAGAAAGCCAGGGATACATGCTGGGAAGTCAAGGGGTAAGTAGAGGGAAAAGGGATTGGTGGAGTGGAAGGAAGCTCTACCGATGGTGAAGTATTTGGGCAGCCATTATGCTGTTCTCTGAGCTGAAAACGTAAATGCTCCCCTTCACTGACCTCTAACTGGCTTCCTTATCTCTTGCTCCTTGCTGTTCTTTATTCCTCCAAAAGAGAATGTGTCTCAACTCTGCAAAGTACCGCCCTAATAGTTTATCTGGAGAAAGGGAACAAAAGGAAGAAGAGCTTGATGGGTTAGTCTGTATTTGTAACAGCTAGTTGACTTTTTTTTTGTGGTTCTGGGGATTGAACCCAGGGCCTTGTGCATGTGAGGCAAGCACTCTACCAACTGAGCTATATCCCCAGCCCCAAGCTAGTTGACTTTTATTATTCCATGGAAAAGATGACATCAGTCTAAGGAATAAATATGGACAGAACATCCCTTTATCAGTTTTATCCAAATGTTTGTTATTTTTTTCAAAGAAATACTGCTAATTAAGATGCTACTTTGTTCAGAAACCACCTAACACAAGGCAGTCTTCTGAAACACAATATTTTTAAAGAAAATATAGTGAAAAAAATTTTTTTTGGAGTGGGGGCTTTGTCTTTCTGTCCTTTCCTCCCTCTCTGCCTTCAATTCTCTTGGAGTTTTTTCTTTTTCTTTTTCTTTTCTTCTTTTTATCTGCAGACAGCCTAGTTAAGTTGAAAGATTTTAGTGTAACTTCATATACTCCTACATTTTTACATATCCTGTCAAAATAGTATATAACAGAAATAGAGTATGTATGATAGATTTTTGCTCTAGACTTTTCTCTTTGGAAATCCTTATGATTCCTTGATTAAGTCTTAATTTTTAGGAATTTTGATGTGCTAGAGCCAGTTTGTATTATTGGTCTGTGAAAATAAATTATTACATTTTCAGAAAATTTACAAATTAGTTATTAAATAAACCATTGGTAGACTGAAATTGGCCACAGGGGAGCATTCATCCTTAGGGAATCCTGAATGGACACATTTCCTTTCTTTCAAGGAAATACATAGGACACCATGGAAATTGGCTAATTCCCAAAGTCAGGATTCCTTCCTCCTCCAGAATCTCTTGTTGAACATTCACCAGCCACCACTATAGATGTGCTATATATGCTAGAATTAAGATTTATATATATGTACATATCCACATACTATAGATACACTAAAATTATTAAACATTTAAGAAAATGAAGTACAACTTTCAGGTAAATTCATATTTATTTCAGACCCCAATACTCTTTTGTTAAATCTGCCAAGAAATGATGATCAGGAATTATTATAAATTTTTCTTCACCATCCAATGAAACTATCAAACTTCAAGTAAAATTATTGGATAGGAAAGATGGTGAAATGAGACAGACGTCATTACCCTAAGTACATGTATGACTGCACATATGGTGCAACTCTACATCATATACTACCAGATAAATGAAAAGCTGTGCTCCATTTGTGTGCAATGAACTGAAATGCATTCTGTTGTCATAACTAATTAGAACAAATACAAAATTATTTACCTCAGTTAAAACACATTTGGTTTTGCCCTTTTGCTTTGTCATGAAGAGATAAAATACCCTTTTATGTAATGCCTGATATTTTTCTGTTATACTCTTTAGTTTAGGGATACTATTGCATTCTGTGTTCCAGACAAGATTACAAGAGGACTGTTTAATTTAAGAAAAGATGGGACTTTTTCTCGGCATGTGTTTGTTCAGCAGTATTTGTGTAAAACATTTGACTTAAGGGTGGCAATATATCAGCAAATGGCTCCACTCTCTCTGAGCACATGTAGCCTCATCCTTAGGGAATCCTGAATGGACACATTTCCTTTCTTTCAAGGAAATACATAGGACACATTTTTAAAGCCCCACCTGCCTGCTGTGGATAGCCAAAGCCTAAGGGGAGACTGACTATTGAAGAGGCAGTAGGTTGGATAAGGCAACCAGGGTTGGAAATTTTTAAATGAGAAGTGCCTTTATATGGCTTTGGAAAGAACTAAGGCAGG